GTATACTGGTGCCTCAACCAACAAACCCTCTCAGGAGCTGCAGCAACATAGGGCCTGATACGGACATGGGTCTCCTCCGCCTCACACATTAGGAGGCAAGAGAGATGCACCAGATGGGGTGTAGTCTCACTCCTAGTGACCCATCAGTGGCCGTAGGCCAAGGGGTGGAGTGATGGGAGCAGCCATAAAGGTGACCTGGTTATAAGGGGGAAAATACTGAACAGAAGAAGATGTCTGCTCAAGTGCTGACAGAGAAAATGCCTGCCAGCCTGGGAACCAGAAGCATTCTCAAGGAGCACAGCTGGCAGCTGGGTGCCAAGAAATCAGAGACAGCCTGAGATACTATCGATGGAAAGTGCAAAACCAAGGGACTGTAACCACAACTTGTCATCTGGAAAAGGCGGAGAACATCCTGAGAAAGGAAGAGTCGGTAACAGCCATTGGCTGTTCTAACAGACAGAACAGTCTGGAAATACCAAAGTTGGTCTGAGAGGATAGAAAATATCATCATTTATTGACTGCGCCAGGTGAAAAATAGAAATCTGCAGCATCTACTGGCTGCTCCAGGTGGTGGTGTCCTTCAACCTCTTATGTCTCTGTGATCTAAAATGGACTTACTTTTTACCCAAAATGGAGCCTCTTTCTCTGAGAAGTGCCTGTGCATCAACCCCTGTTCCCCATGCCATTTCCTCGGCAGAGCGGACCCTCGCCAGGGACGCTGGGCTGACTCCAGGCTCCGTGATGCGGATCATTGACCAAGTGAGACTGTCCGATTGGCCTCACTTCTGGGATGGGTTTGATGAGCGCTTGGTACCGGTAATAATTTTATTTTTATATATATATATATATGCACGCATAGAAGCAATTACTGGTAAGTATATTTGCTGCTTTACTAGTGGTAATTCTGTAGTAACTTGTAATACTGAAATATAGATTTGCTACTGATATTGATTGTGCTGCTGTTGAAATATATATGTGCTTTCTGGTTGTAATTTGTAGCATAGATACACTAATCATAAGTGTACTTGTCTTGATAGTGATGACCTGTAGTAAAAGGCAATAAAGTAATTTTGGAAATGAATCTCCCTGTCCTTATGCATGGCAGAGTCCTGCGAACCCACAGCTGCAACCTTTGCCCACCCACAGGCTGGGTAACCCTTCTGGTTCGTGACAGTCAAATGGAGGAGGTTTTGTTGGGCTGCATCCAGTTGGTACCAGCACTAACTAGCAGGCATGGAGAAAGGGATAGGACAAAATCAAACCCTGTGTCTCTGTTGTGTTGTATTGTTTTGGCTTTTTGCAGGCTGGCAGCGAAGATGAGGTAGAGGAACACCAGTCAATTCATGTTCAAAGTGCGTTCAGATACAGAGATGATGCTGGAATATAAGGGTCAGAAGATGTTGCTGGGCTGCAGGCGTAGTCCATTACCTCATCTTGGTATTTCTTTCCAGGAATCTTAGTGACCCTCTCCTCAATACACTAGCTCCTTCTCTTTCCACGTGGCTGGAGAAATGCAAGATTAAACAGGTTGAAGTGTGTGAGGCATTCATCTTTCAGAGCTTGGGATTAGCCTTCAGCTCTTGTGCACCTTCTCGCTCCGCCACACAGGGCAAAGAGGATGCAAAGCAGGCATGCCTCACTCCGGCTTGTGTTACAGCAAAGGGTTATGGTGCTTCTCCACAATTACCAAAGCGAATAATGCTGCCATTGGCCTTGACTTTTCCCAAGGCATGATGTGATGCTCCGTTCTCCAGAATGGCCCCAGTGGCCGCAGAGCAGCAGCCTCCAGCTGTGGATGGGGAAACAGGAGGAGCTGATGTTGCAACGGCATCCGGATTCTAGCTTGGCCAGACAAGCGCTGACATTTTTCCATCACATGTGACCCGTTGATGCCTTCTGCTGTAGTTTTCATTCAGGAATGCTAGCTGTGGTCAGGCTGCCTGTATTTATTTACAGACACAAATAAACCACTGCTGACTGAAATACGCCATTCCCATGATTGTGCTTGGCACTAACCTTGCAAGGGCGAAGGCAGATCTGCTTACACAGTAAAGCAAGGACTTCGTGCTCTTAGAATTGCTTCCTTTTTTTTTTTTTTTTTTAGCTGCACCCTTGCAGA